TCCCCATCGCCATCCCCATCCTCTGTCCTCATCCTCATTCTCAGTCCTCCGTTTTCGTCCTCGTCCTCAGTCCTCATCCTCCGTCCTCATCCCCATCCCCATCCCCATCCTCACCCTCACCCTCATCCTCATCCTCTGTCCTAATCCTCATCATTATTATTATTTTGCAACTGATAACCAATATTTAGTTTAATGTTTGGAGCCACTTATCTCATACTCCAACAGCTTTTCTTTTTTCACTCCTGAAAGTTAAGGTATGGACACTGCAACATTGAGTGCAACATTTTGAAATTTCCAGCCAATCAACCTGCTTTAAATTTATATCTACTGACAAAATTTCTTAGCACATCGTGATTTTGTTGCAACGTGTGTCACTCCAATTCAAATTTGTTGTGTGCAATGTTGTATGCAACATGGCACCATCTGTCCTCRCCTTTAGTGACTTACAATTTCAACTAAAAGATAAGATGATTATCCCCAGCCTTAGTTATACTAGAATCAATGTTTATTGCAGTCAAACCAGCTGTTGTTCTTATGTGTTCTTACCAAGGCTCAAAGATTCATTTTATTTTTCAAAGCTTGATCTCCATCTCGCTTTGAAGCTTGCATTACTAAAACAAACGTTATAAATTTCAATCCCGGCCTTTATCTCAAAACATGAAAATGTTCGTTTGTGATAGGACTTTTTGAACAAAACATCACACTACACAGATCAGTTTAAAATGGTAGCTATAATCATAAAAAAGGCTTTGCACGAGTCTCTGAAGAACTATAAACTTTTAATCTTATCCCAGATTTTAAATTTACAACATTGGATTCATTAATGCAAGTTTCAACACAAGTTTCACACATGGAAATCAAACTTCAAAAAATGAAATGAATGTTTGAAACTCAATAGGAATGCATGAGCTGGTTTGACTGTAGCCTACAGGCATTAAAAATTCTTCTAGATCAGTGCATAGTGTAGCAATGAAAATAGAGGCAAAAAAGCTAATTAAAAGTGAAGTTTTAACCTTTCACTACTCTCTACTGACTACTGCTAGCTGTTGAAATCCATATTTTGAGAACTCAGTGTTTGTGAGGTGCATGCTGAAATTTGATTTTTTGCTGCCRTCAATCAAAAATAATCAGTCGGTATCTTTCATGTTCTTGACTGATGGCAGTAAAAAACCAATTCACCTTTTCAACGATGCCGTCACGTCATAAACACATCATTGGATTGTGTTACGGCCACCAAAAGTTCGGACATCGTTCTCGGATTCCCATACAAATTCACTGAGTTTACAGAGAAAATTTAGATAGATTTCTTTAGTTAGTTCTCTTAACAGCAATTAGAAAAGTTTCAATCAAGTTAGAAAAATGATATTTTACTTGTATTTAGAGAACTAACTAAACAAACCAAGTAAATAGTTCATTTAAAGTCAGTACATTTATACGGAAATCTGAGAACAATGTCCGAACTTCTTGGAGACCGTAACACAATCGAACACAATATATACCACGTGACGGCTAGCACCAAAAAGGTGGCAAAAGTGGCAAAAAAAAGAATGGTATATTTTGCCTACCAGGACCTTTGGCTGGGCATAATCAATTTTCCAGCAACAATCCTTCTAGTGCTATAATAATATATGTAATATCTACAGTCAAGGGGGCATACTTATGACATAATAGCTTGCACATCCAAGCTGGACCTCCTTCCCCCTTTTTTATGTTCTATGATACCTCATATGTTTGAGAGCAGCTTAAAAATCGTCTTCCACATATTTAAACTGGTTGGTAATGAAGCTTTTATGAAGAGGGAGGCAGACTTCCATGAATCAATCAATCAATCAATCAATCAACCTTTATTAATGTGTCAATGTACTTAGTCTCAGAGACTAATTGGGGACACAAATAAATCAATAAATATATCTATACAATTACGGAAAAAAACAAAAAGAAATTAAGCTAAAATTGAATCTACTAAATTTCTAAAAGCTATATTAATAATAAAATATAATACAATTGAAAAACCTAGAAAAATGTATTTAAAATGTTCAGATGTTCAGGAATAGTACATGTACATTTGCTCCAGAGATATACAATAGTAAATAAAATGTGTTTTAGTTATATTTAACTGCACAAACACGGTGTTGCTTACCCTTTTTAAAGGTACAGTACTCCTAAAACTCAAGTATTCTTGTGAACGACTAATGGCAGACGACTCGGCCATCATTCAATGGGTACAACAAAACTTGATATTCTCTGGAATGTTGCGAAAACCAAGACAATCAAWCAATATATCACTTCAAGATAGACAAAACCTTCAGTATAACGTCTTTCCCATTACATTGTTGTGTTAAGAAAGACATAAGGTTTAGTAAAAAGCATTTAGTTCCGGTCACTTGGCCAATCTCATGAAAACCGAGGAATCCTATGCACTAGTACCCAGTGACACTCCACTTCCTTTCAACCCACCCCACCCCCTCCCATTCCCCCTCCCCTTGGTAATATAGCAAGGGRGGAGGGCTTTGTTAAATAGGTTTTGTAAACGAAATCCCACCCGAATACTGTTTAAAAATAAAAAGCCTTTTCCTGGGCTCCTTTCAATAAGTGTGAAGAGAAGGAGGAAGGATGCTTCATTTTTACGTGCCGTATTGTATTACTTAATGGAGCATTAAAAAATGGGGGAGGGTGTGTTTTCAGAAGAACTAAAATGGGTCATTGCATTTTCATGAGCTCATTAATTAATTTGTAAGGAAAAGACAACAAAAATCATGACCATTAAAAGTTGTATAAATCTGTTAAATAAATTCATGTTCATTATAATAATAATGTAATAAATAATATAATATAATATAATAATTAAATACTTATATTGCACGTTACATAGGAAGATGCTCACACGCCCATTACAAACTGAAATAGAAATATAAAAATATAAATTATKATCTAAACATACCATGTAGGCCTGTTGCATCAGCCCCAAAGCAGCGCAACCAGAAGGGCAAGCAACCAACTGGCCACAAGGTAGTGTCTATTGCTTTCCCCCGACTCCCGCCCAGCAAGAACTGAGTTTTGTTGCCTTATGGAAATTATTTGGTTTTGCACTATCACCAATCGTAATATTATTGAAAACTGCTAGAGTTTCTTACAACCCTTTGCAGGGCTGGCAGTGTGAACATAATAATATCTGTTTGAGCCAAGGTTGAATAAGTCAAAATTAAAATTAAATTTTAACTGTAAAGTTAGTTTGAAGGGGGAGAGAGTAGGAACGTAAAAAAAGAAAAATAATGATAACGATAACAATATAATAATTTGTACTGTGCCTATAAAAAGAATATAGATTTGAAATAATAGTTTCAGGGGCGTATTTAGCAGGTCCTAGGGTGCACCTGACCCCCCTTTCTAAGCCACAAATGCGATAAAAAAGAGCAAATCGTACCATAGTGTTATGATGTCATAGTAAAAGTTTGGTGCATAGGGACCCCCCTTTGAAAAATCCTGGATACACCCTTGTAGTTGATACAACAGCCATCTCAGCATGATGTATAACACACAATATATCTTTATTATTACAAAGATAGTAAACAGTAATAATAGAAAATAGTAAAAACATTTAGTTCAATCAATAAATATTATCACTTTAAAACACTTTATTAAATAAACAATCACTAATCGATTGTAAAGTTTACCAGAAATCCACTACTTTGCTATAGAAATGAACTTTTTCTAGTAACAATATTTTCATACATTCATGGCTACATCAGTTCTCTGTTGAATAGCAGCTAGTTAGCCTGGACCATAGTTAAAAGAGGGGAATGGTTAGGAAACTCTATTGTTATAGGTTATTGTTCACTTTTTTCTAGCGTGACCATGCACAATCCTTTGCTTTACCATTGTTTTACCATTGTTTTACCATTGTTTTACCATTGTTGGTCACCATTTTTATGTTTACTATTACTTATCTTGCAATTTCGGATGAGCATAAATCAAACATATTGCACGGTCAAGACCGRTTCAACCTCACAAGKGAACAAAGACCTAATAAAAATAGGTTTCCTAACCATTCCCCTCTATTAACTATGCCTGGACTAAATGTCRTAGTGTTTGCCCAGTTCATAATAAAGAGAGATACCTTGAACTTGCAAACATTTGTTACTTGTTTGCCCAATGAACTGTTTTAGCCATTGGCCAAGATGACATTGAGCCCATTTATCTTGGTCGACAGACCCCCCCCCC